AGAGAGAGAGAGAGAGAGAGAGAGAGAGAGACCAAGTAGAGAACTCATAAGGAGCGCCAAGCAGCCATCTTCATAATATTTTGCTTTCGCCTTTTCAAAGTTGAAGATCAGACGCACTATTGATCCGTCTTCAATTTTGACAGGATAATACTGTTGCCATTGGTTGTGGGGTAATATGAGCAGATGCCAGCACAGTTCTTATAATACCCCTAGGCGCAACTGTCCGAATGGGTTAAAGTACATTAAACATTCGATGATAACTACATCGATTTCTGAGTATCCGAGGCTTAGCTGAAGAGGGGAGCGTTTTGTTCAGAATACTATCTGACCCAAGAAATTATTATTTCATTGGTTGAGTAAGTCTTAGCCGGAAGCAGATTACGTTGAGTGACGCGAATGGATTCGTTGACGTATTAAGGAATACGGTTATTGGATGGAGGCATGAGGCAGGATAAAATGGGGACAAGAGGAGGGGGAAGGAGGGTGGAAGGATGTGTGGTGAAAAAGAGAAGAGAGCGAAATCAAGTTCACATACCTTGTGACTTCACATAGCACTAATGTCAGAGCCTCGGAGGAGGACTTAGATATAGTGCCTATCAAAAGTATGTTACAAATTTTGTTTTTTCGAAACGGTTGCTACAGGGTACTTTCGGAAACCGGCTACCTAAAAGAGATTATGCGAATCTGTACAATAGACGCATTCCGAAATGGGTAGTTTGGAAAATGGGGCTAAACAGCCTCAGGGCATCTTTTTGGGGTTTTCTACTTTCTCCGATGAGCCGGACTCTCGAGGATTCAAAGAATCAATAATCGATTTCAGCAGCAGCGTAATTTGAATGCCGTCAAGAATGTTTCATTTTCGTCTGGTTAGGCAGGGCGGTCTAGGGGTAAAACGTTCGTACAAAGGAGGCAAGACGAAATGCATAGCCCTGCTTACTCTTGAGGGGAGGGAATTCATGTTAAATGCAAAAAGACGGGAACCCTGGCCTTTCTTCTCGCGACTTGGGGATCTGTTATTATAAGGTGATGTAGACAGTTAAAATACTTTCTCAGGCCGTCATATTCTTGCAATGTACATGTGTTTTTCTTTTCAGGGCTAGATTCATACGTCATTTGTACACTGATAATTTTTTGGCGTTTGGTTAAATAAACACATATAATTATAAGGAAACAATGGTTATTGAATTGAGATGTTTAGTTCTAGCGACTCTATTTTATTTAATATGGTCCAGAAGCGGCATTATATTCGTCACTGCAAAATTCACTTTCATTGTAACAGATATTGTAACTATGGAAGACAGTCAACCCCAGGAAGATTTTATTAGCGAGTCTTCATAAAAGATCACAATACCTTTTTGTGCCATCTTTTTACTGAGTTACAATTCTCTATTTAAATGATACGTCTTAGAAGATCTTTTAAAACACATTTTTGGTTGTCGGTCGTGAGTTAAGAATTTTTAGTTCTACCCTAGGCACAAACACACCGTGATCTCGAAAAAGGTGACTGAATGTTCACCGACATATCTATCATTGAAAACGTACTCAGTTTGCAGTTTCTGAAGTAGTTTTGCTTGTCTTGTTTTTGGTTTCTGCCGTAAATCTATTCCCCAACCAATGAACAATCAATCCACTAAAGGCCTAGGCCATCCTTTTGTGTTCCCCTAAACATATCTCCAGCCAAGGCAAGAGGAACATCTTCATTTCGGTATTTAGCCCTGGGAGATAAGGAATCCAGATTTTCTCTTTCAACAGTTTTCTTTGTCTTTGTCTTTTTTCTTTTCTTTTTTTTTTTTGGGGGGGGGGGGGTGTTTGTTTGCTTTTTCTTGGGAGGGGGGGGGGTAGCATTCTTTGGCCTACTTTTGCAAGTTCACAAAGACCACTACTACGCATGTTCGAGCGAGCACTTCCGGCTCGCGGTTGTTACCTCGGCTGCCGCGCCTCGACCTCTGTCGGCAGCGACATCTCGAACAGACTCGGGAAAGATCGGGACCTTCCGTTGCCAGAAAAGCAATCCACAGTCGCCGGGAGAAACGAAGACTGAACCTTGACCCCTGCTGACCTCCCAGCTCCATCTTTCTTGTTGCTGCTATTGTTGGTGTTGTTGTTGTTGTTGCCGTTTTTATTTGTGGAAGTTGTGTAGTTGTTGTTTTTGTTGACTCTTTGGTATTTCGTTGCGTGACCTCGTGTGGAGCAGACCTGAGTTTTCTTCGGGAGATGATGGGATACGTGTCGGCTGTGAGGAGAGTTAGGACTGCAGCAACATGTTAGAACGTAGGGCATATCGTCGGGGGTCAGAGATGCCGAAGGGTTCTCAACCTCCGAGGCGTTTGAGACCTCCGGAGTAGAAACTGGCTGTGGGCCAGGATTGTTTATCGGCACAATCCTCGTTGTTAGAGAGGATCGACTTGCACTTTTGCCCGGGGGTAAACTAGGTGCAGAATGGGATAAAGGTGAGGATACGAAAGGTTTCGACGACAAAATCGATGAAAAATGCAAAGACGAATCGTTTTTGGAAGACGTAAGATTATTCTGCTGAGGTCGACTTGTTGTCTCAGAGAAGCTACTCCACATTCCGTTTGTCTCGTCTCTGTTTCTCAGAAGGGGTAACTGATCACGGTTCCCGCTCTCAGATGCGAGTCTAGATCTCTCTTGAGGTCTGCCAAGTGCAGAGGCACTACTAAATGAACGGTCGCGAATGTTCCGCCTCGAAGCTCCCACTTGCCCATCGCTGTCCCTGCTGCCAGAAATAATCCCAATATTTTCTTTTGCGCACACGTCAGCACACGTATTCCGGGTGTCATTAAAAGCCACGTCCCCACCTTTGTGCGAACATTCATTTGCACTAGCAGTATTTAAAATGAAAGACTCTGGCGCGGAAGATTCCCACGCTCTGTTGGAAGAAGAAGAAGAAAAATCTCCAGAGGAGTCAACAATAACGAAAGGATATGTACAAGATGCATCCGAAGTGAGTGGTTTCGCTGTTTCCAGCGAGGTAGATGTGCTGGCCTCAGCTGCATGGGCCAATGTCCCCAGCTCAACGCTCTCCCCCTGCCTCGTCTGAAAATCAGTTTGCGTCGTGTCCTTCACCACGGAGTCACGCCCTTCTTGTCTTTCTGACCCCATCTCTTTGCTGGTGCGATACGCCTCGTCTAAATCCTCTGTGCACACAGCCATGTAAGAGATTGGGTCGGAGAGTTTCCTCCTACCCCAGCCGGTCCCAAATGTTCTCTTTTCCACTTCTGTGAGATTGGGGACGAGCGTGGGGCCTCGTTTGACTCCGGACTTGAGTCCTTCTCCCACCGCCCCGTCCACAGCGACTCCGCTCACACCGTCCTCCAACATCCCCTGGGCGGCCACACGAGACGCACCGCTCGTTGTAGCAGCAGTCGTTCCAGAAAATTCCCCCGATTTCTCCGAGCTGTCCCTAAGGTCAAAGGTCACACTGCACCCATTCGGGCCAGGACCCGGGTTTAAACGCAAGGCGTCGGAATCGTCTGTGTCTACGTCACCACTGCCAGCACCTTGACCCCGGGGCTGGTCTCGTGACGTCTTCTTTACGAGTTCCGAACTCCACGAGGTTCGATTCTCTCGCTTGCGAAAGGAGTCGTACCCTCCTTCGCTCCACCTCTTAGGTCGAGCCCTCTTCCCACCCCTCCGGAAGACGTGTCTCGCAGATGACATCATTGAACGAAAATATCCCCCTCCTCCTCCTGCTCCTCCTCCTCCTCCTCTATTATTACTCTTGCCATCGTGACGGCCATTGTTATGGTTGCCGTAGGAACCGGTACCAGAACCGGAACCAGAACCGTCGCTGTTGGCAGAACTATCCACAGAGCCCTGTTGCTGGCAGGAGGACTTCTTAGCGTTGCTGGGAGACAACAACGACCCTGAGCCATCCTCCCCGCTCTGGGCAGATCCGGATTTGACCACGCCCCCCTGGGAAGCCCTGGAGCCTACGCACCTGTGTCCAGCGGGAGGTCCACCACCTGTGCCAGCTTGCGGAGAACCCGGATGTGGACAGCTCGTCTGCGGCTGCGCGCTCAGCCTCCGGACAGCCGGGTTCAGGCTCCGGAGTGTCATCAGGAACCGGTTCTGCACGGATCCGGCACTGCCAGACTGATAGGACGGAATGTCCTGGCTGCCTTTACATTTGAGAGGCTTCACTTTCTGTCTGTGTGCCTCCACCTCCCTCAGTCTGCGTTGGCCGTAGTCGCGAATGATGGACTGAAAAAGGGTGGTTAGTGAAGTCAAGGTCACAAATGGGGTGTAAAAAGGGCCACGAAATTTCGTTAGTAAGAGCCAAAAAAAAAAGGGAGACTGGGTACAAACTGGGACGATTTTCTAAGGTATCACACGTATAATGTTATTCTTATTGAAATGCAAATATGTTCACACACAAAAACACACGCATACACACACACTCGCACACACACGCACACAAAGTGTGTGTGTGTGTGTGTGTGTGTGTGTGTGTGTGTGTGTGTGTGTGTGTGTGCCTATGTGTGTGCACGTGTGTGTATGTGTGTGTGTTTGTGTGTGTGTATGTGTGTGCTTGTGTGTGTGTGTGTTTGTGTGTGTGTGCGTGTGTGTGTGAGGACGTCAAACAATAAAAGGAAACATTCAAGCGTCTCAAAAAAGAGACAAGGTCGGAGTGTATTCCTCCATGTCAGCAGCTTTGATGAATGAGTAAGCAGAGGCCATAAGAGAGGGAACATAATTCATAATAAAAAAAGGTCAACTTATAATATAGATCACCAAGCAGAGAATAAAACCCCTAGCAAAGATCTATTGTTAACCTTACGTCGTTTATAATAAAAGGGGTCTACTTTTAATATAGACCATAGATCGCCAGGTACATAACTGAAAAAAAACCCAACAAAGAAACAAACAAACAAACAAACAAAAAGAACTTAAATAATACTTTAAAAATTCAGTAAAGATCTACTGTTTAAGCTTCGACCGTTGAAATGTTGAAGGAGCATTCACAAACACAAATTATTATATAAGGACTACAGTGTTCACTAAAGTTCCATTTAAACCAAGGGGAAATCTTGGTCATAACTAAACGTTTTTATTTTACATATGTTTTCTGCCACAGAAATCAGCTCAAGATAATAGAAAAAGCAGGAAAAAAGTTTTGTCATGGCAATGGTGTAAAGCTTCTTTCAACAACTTGGTGGTTTTTGAAAAGAGGTCCACAGAACGTAACGAACAGCTCCGACAGATCTGAGCCAATTGTGTGGAGAGTCTTGAAAACACCTGTAACAACCGACGTCAAGGGTTCGAACTAAAATCATCCGCACGACAGCGTAACCTGACTCCAACTCAACCCCAACGCCCTAATAAAAGTGTAGGAACAAAATTAGAGAACGTTTTAGAAGCTAGTATATCTGCAGTCACTCTGCAGTAACGAAATGCTGGCGTATGTTCGTTATACTATTTTCATGTTTCTTTAGGTGTGTATCCCTTACATCTTTCTTCCTAAACGATCTTTTTGTGTTTTTGGCTATAAATATGGGATGAAAAGTCGACAGCAAATGCAGAGAATGGGAGACAGATTATAAATATATATAACAAGAAAGAAATGATAGCAACCCCGATCTAAAAGATTTCAACCTACTCCCCCCCCCCCACCCCCACCTTCCCACCCCCACCGCCACGACCCCAAAAAACAAATAAATGAAAAAAAAATCAGAAAGCGGAAGCAAAATTATAAACAACTAACAAAAAAGAAACTACAGGAACCCTGATCTAAGAAGATCCCCAACTCCTTCAAAACAACAACAGCAATAACAACAACAACAACAACAACAACAACAACAATAACAAAAACAACAACAACAACAAGAACAACAAAAACAACGATAGTAATACACGAGGAAAGAAAATTTGAAAAGAAATAGGAGAAATTAATCACCCCAGATTTTGGGCATGTTTAGGACAAGCCGACCATGAGCAAAGACAAATTAATGGGCCCTCGTATCTTGACATATTAGCGTTGGCACATACGATGTTGCTGTCAGCAAGGAGATTGAGTTCTTTGCACTGTGCATGTTTGTGTCTCGGTGTGCGCTTCTTCACCAATGCCTGCACATGAGTACAGAACTTGCTACGCAAAGCCCCATGAGCAATATACCCTTTGCACTGGCGGTTATTTAAACCTAGTTTTAATTACAGATCTTTTTTCCCAAGAGGCCTGTTCACGTTACAGGTCAAAAGAAGATAGCCTGAGGGAAAGGAACGGGGGGTGAGGGGTGTGGAGGGGGGGGATCAAGGTATAAACGCTCCTGTAAACGCTCCTGTTTACAACTTTTTCTTTTTGAAAAAGGAGGAAAATATAGGTGTTTTTACGTCCCCTTCGACACAATAATCTAGGCCATTTAGGAGGCGGGCTTCGACCTTGACTGTCCGAGCTGAGAGGGATATAACGTCCTATCAGATACACCGTGATACTCGATATAATTTCTCCCCACGCGGGAATTGAACTGTGGGCGATGGCGAAGCACCTAGCTGCTGCACTACTACTACACCACAGTCGCTGTTCTGGTTACAACCGAGGCTCTATTGAACAAATATGTTAAAGTGGACGAGTGTTGGAAAAAGGAGAGGGGGGGGGAGTGGGTGTGCAAAATGATATGACAAGGAATATTTACCAACAGACCTAGGGAAAGTGGAAATTATTCAAAACTGAACAAAACAAAACAAAAACCATAACAAGAAAAGGACCATGCACTGGAATTTGAAACTATCAAATAGTATCAAACAGTACACCTAGGGTGCAGGTGGGTGGGGATGGGGATTGGGGGTGGGTGGTGGTGTGGGAGGGGGGATGGGGGAACGGCGGATTCAAAACGATAAACATATCCACAAACACGTCGAACAGTTGTGCGTAGCACACACACTGACATACACAACGGTGCTCATTTTTTTCGTGAAGTGCTCGTTTCACACGTGTTGTGTTTAAGACGAACAAGTGAAGTGTAATTTTCACGCAAATTGTGTAGTTAGCAATTTCACTCTGTGCTGAAAGAGTCACACGCGTTGCTACCCTTTTCCAATGAAGGTCTTTGTGGGGAATCCCCATGAAATATAAGGTAATTCCGCTCCGGGTATTTTTGTACTGGGGAATTCCGTACAAGGAATTACCATTTTTCTTTTGAACTGGGCAGGCGGGATCGAGTCCGACGATTGTGTGCGAGTTCCGCGGTTGTTGCGCAATCTTTCCTTTCCGCAGGCTACCAGGATTCCCTTAAGGATCATCAATAATAAAAAATTAAGTTGGTGCTGAGAAAAAGTGCAAGACAAGACAATGAATAGAAACGTATCTTGAAGCTGTTTAAAAAAAAAATAATTTAAAAAAACGTTATTTTTTAAATTTCGACTGCTCAGCGTAACACTCCGTCAAACGACAATTTTCAAAAGGGCTTATTATTGTGTAGTCTTACTCTAATCAGTCGAATTGTTTAATCTTGTAATCTTTTATTCATACTTCATTCTATTCATTACTTTGTTATTTCGCGGGGAAGGACTTGAAGGAGTTCCGTGTTCTCGGTGGTGTAACCGTTACAGGCTCTTCAAAGATTTGGCAATGGTTTCTTACGAAGTAAAGCTAAAAAAAAATATTCTCATCTACACGTTAGAAGAACAACAGGGATAGTAAAAGGGTAAAGGGAAGCAGTGCTTTTGGTACAGATGTCAGTGCGGTCATCTGCGGTGTCGTAAAATGACACCAATTAAAAAGAACAACAACAACAACACATTCACATAGATACACACAAAAAACCTCAGCGAACATACAAACATACAAAACAAGAACAAAAACAACACCCCAGCCCGACCCCCCACCATGAAAAAATAACAATAGCAACAGAACAAATTACAAGGCAATAACACAAAATACAGGGTGATCCAAAAACCACAAAAAAAAGAAGCAAACAACAACCAAACTAAACAACTTTTCTTCTGAACATCTCGCTCAAAATTTGTGCTAGAATGTTGTAGTTTGGAATAGATATAATGAAACGGCTTTAATAAAATCACATATAAACGCAAAATGCACCAATTTAAAATGTCTTGTGAGGAGAGTCATGAAATGATTGGGTTTTCCCCCCTGCTTGTTCTTTTCGAAATCTAATACTTCCGTCCCTGTAACATTTAAACAATATTTCTTTTCTCTTTCTGAGTTTTAAAAAGTACTTGTAAAATTCTGGAATTCCGAGAATCAGTGCTCTATTTGTCCTTCTTTGGACTCGATACATTTTAACTCGTCGTTCGTATTGGTCGGTAGGGTCCAAACACGAGGATCCACGCCACCCGTGGCGTCGGTGGCTTAGTGGTTAGGCTAACGGACTCGCAACCGTTAGGTCGTGGGTTCGAATCCCGTCAGGGGCCCGACGTTGTGTGCTTGGGAAAGGCACTTTGCACAAATTTTCTTCACTTCACCCAGGTGGAAATGGGTACCCGGCTTTTGACTCCACTCCAAACTGCTATGTACGAATTTGAAACACAAAACTTCGGTGTGGAGGAAAATATTTACAAAAAAAGTTGTTCATTTTTTTGGGGGGATCACCCTGTATATAAGCAACTACGTAATAAACATACGCACAAAAACTTTAAAGAACCAAAGAAGAAAAAATGAAAGGCACCAAAATGTCCTCAGAAAACCAAAAAAGCAAAACTATCTACAAAGTCATTTATAATATGAAAGAAAAAAATTCTACCCAACCTTGTCTTATTTCTCTGATTTAAAAACTAACCTTACCGTTTACTGAAATGATGTCAGGTAGAAGTTATCAAAACACAGCACAGTTATTTTCAAACAAAATTTGCCCCTTAAAGCTTCTTCAAAAGGTCTAAGCTATCTACATCGGAAGGCGTTTTTAATCAACAACAATTGCAACAGATGAATTTGCTCATTCTTAAACAATAAAAACAACAAATACAACAAATAACCCCAGTAGTTGACACCTTTGCCCCCTAAACCTGTCGTT